CTCCTAGGTGGGCTACCTTCCCAGGTTGACGTGCCCCACCTGCCCCTCACTTCCCTCTACAGCACATGCAGAAATTGGCTTCTTGACTATTGGACCCACTTTTGGTCTTGTCTGCTCAATCCACCAGAGCCTGTCTTTGCATGCAAGGGAAGTCTCTAACTCACCAAATGTTTGAGACCCATCAGCTACCCTTGCCCATTTTAAGCCAGCCAGTTGAAGCCATTTCATGGGGGGTGTCCACTTGCTGTTGCTTGCTGACAGCTTCTAGGAGCCAGAGGTAAGAGCTAAGTGCAGGATGGGGACCAAAGGTGGACAAGCTGCCCCAGAAGGAGCACAACATGTCCCCAACAAGAGGTAGTATCCTGCCCCTAACACCTCATACACTCAAACTGCCCCTAACACCCCATATACCCCACCAGTTGCTCTAGTTAATATATTTGCAGTGGAGACTGGTATTACTGGTTTGGTGTGCATTTTGGCCTGCATTTATGTAAGCCAGACTTGATCGTTTACCAATAAATTGATTAACTGTGTCCTTGTGATGCCCTTCACTAAAGCGATCAATCTGAACCTACAAAATCATTCACATAATCATAATTCCACATCGCCTTTTAAACATTCTCCAGTGTCACCTTTTCATGCTCAAAAATCCAACACTGTTAGATCCAATATGCCTTTTTAGATCAAACATAAGTAAACCCCAATCTCAAATTCAATCTTAATGACAAGGTCAAAAGCTAGGCTTTATGTTTTACAGTAAATTAAGAGTGATACTAAATGAAATGCTTGAGATTTGTGATTCATCTCCCATTGCCGCAGATCTCTTTTGAATATACCCACAGAGGCTCCTAGACTGCATCAAGACCACAGCACAGAGGGACTTTAACTCTTTCCTGTATGCCATTTTGCAAATGCAAATCATGCCTCTCCCAGCCAAAGCACGTCTGCTATTTGACCCACTATGAGAAGCTGTAAGCATACCTGTGAATTTCCTCCATTTGTGTAAGCAGTAGCTGAAAGGTGGGCAGAGATTACGCCAGGAAAAAAGCACATGGAGAAGGTTCAAAAATCCCCCAGAGCCCTCATGGCTACTTCTAAGAGAAAATGATAGTTTTGACCACAGATTTGTAATATCTGGTCTGTTTTGGGACTAAGAGTAAAGGTTAGTTTCATTAACCTACTACTGTATTGCAGAAGCATAGCACCACTAACTTTCAAAAGTAATTTTCACCCTACATAGGACTGAATCAGCTTTAACATTAGCTGATTTCACTGGGTTTAGGCATGTCTTCTATCTAGGATTGGGAGCACGAAGCATTTTGTAACTCAATTTCCAGAATGGTTCCAGTGTGAAAGTCTTTTCATTTATCCCACTTCCAGAATAATAGCATTTAACCTATGCTGGATAGAATATACATTAGAACTGACTCTTGGATTCTTGCTCAAGTAAACAATGCAATCCTATACCTATCTACTCTAATGTAATATTCATTTGAGTTCAATGGGACTTATTCCCAAATTTGTGGTTACTGAAGTGTTTGTAACCCTAAGCGTTTGTACCACTGTATAGGATTGCAGCCTTAGCTGTGAAAAGTGAAAAAATGCCTTCATCCTCTGTCTCCTATGACATGCAAGAAATGGTGTTTATCTAGTGATATTTCCATCCTATTTAAGCCTTGAAAATACAAACAATTTATCTCCAACAGAGAAGTTTTAAATTAAATAATTATTTAAAGGTTTTCATCTTTCCCTTCAAATTCTTAAATACTGAAATAATCAAAAGTTGGAAGAACTTTATGGTCACCTAATCTATGTAAAGGCCATTATTTTCCACAACTGATGCTACAAATTATTTTTAGCCTGGAATATATCACTTGCAGGTGTTTATGTCACTTTGAGATTTGTATGAAAAGCAGGATGAAAATAAAATAGACTGATAGTGGAAATGGTAAAGTATTCTATTTAAAATGCATTGTATGCTCTAGCTAGCTAATGTAGGTTACCCTCCATTCTACTTACAGAGGCGAGAGGTGAAAGAGCCACTGGAAGTACCATCTGTGGAAACAGAATTAAAGAATTCAAATCTAGAAAGCTAATGCATAGCACATCAAGAAAGCTGCACCATTTCTTGATGTGCCTGTAGTAGGAAAGGCTGTGTTTACAGATGGCTCAAGCCAATAAGGATACCACGATACAAGAGAAAATATGAAAAAAAATCAGTCAATATGGAAAACAACCCTTCCTGACCCTAATCTGGCTGGATTACCGTATGCAGAATTACTGTATTTTTCGCACCATAGGACACAGTTTTTCCGTCTTAAAAACTAAGGGGAAAAGTCTGTGCGTCCTATGGAGCGAATGCAGGGGGGGGGAGGCAAGCGCGGCCAGTCAGTCCCTTCTCCCTCCTCTAGAAAAGCCTTCCACAATCTCTCCAGTCATGGGAGGCTGCGCAAGGCTAAAGAGGAAGCCCGGGCAGCGAGCGCGATCCATCCCGCTCGCTGCCCGGGCTTCCTCTTTAGCCGTGCGCGCCTCTCCAGCCGCGGGAGGCTACGCAAGGCTAAAGAAGCCAACTTTTTAAAAATCTCTCTATCTCTACCTCTTTTTCTTTTTTCATCCTTTCTCCACCCCCTTATTTTCCTCTGGATCAGTGTTTTTATCTAGATTAACGTTTTAGTTTGGAGGGGGGGGAATATTATAAAAAAGGAAACTTTGCAGCTTTTATTTTAGTATACACTAAAAACAGATTAAACAAAACACAAGAGAAGGAACTAGCATAGAAGAAGAAGAGAAAAGGGAAAGAGGGAGGATACAAAGCCATTTACCAGAGGTAGATCTTAACCCTTGCCTCACCTGGGAGCTTCTCTGGGCAGGAATTCCCTCAGCTTAAGTGGGGTGAGGGAAGAGTGGCAGGTAGGGGGGTACCTACCTAGACAGTGAAGCCACATGTCTCTCCAATGAAAATTGGGAGTGGGTATTGTGTGAAGTGGCTGTGGATCTCCTGCCGCAGAAGTGTAGGACTGTATAGAGTTGGGAGGGCCACCCGAGGGTCATCTAGCCCAGCCCCCTCACAATGTAGGAATCACAGCTAAAGAACACCAGGCAGATAGTCCCCCAACCGCTGCTTAAAAGGCTCCAGTGGTGGAGACCCCCAACAACTTCCGAGGTCACAGAATTGCAGGGTTGGAAGGGAACCCCAGGAGTCATCTAGTCCAGCCCCGGTGGACAGCGGGCACGATCCATCCCGTTGTGCAAGGCTAAAGATGCTGCTCAAGGCTAAAGAGAAAGCGCGCAGCCTGTCCATTGCTCTTTGGGGCTGGGGGGGGGAATAATATTTTTTCCCTTGATTTCCCCCTCAAAAAACTAGGTGCGTCCTGTGGTGCGGTGCGTCCAATAGAGCAAAAAATACGGTAGATACTAAAGCATAGGTATCTGAGCACTCCAAACATTTTTTGGGTAATTTTTAGTAGTAACCCATTTTATCCTTTGAGCAATTATTTATTATTCAAGTCTAGTTCTACCTAGTCTCTTATCTTCCTTTTACTCCACTGATGTTGTCAGCAAGACTTTTCCCCTCAATATCTTCCCCATCAAAATAATGAAGGATCCCTATCAGGCTGATCAATTGCCCCACTAGCAAAAGTTCAAAAATTAGTGGAGTTCAGATGTTAGTATTACTCATTAAACTCATAGATTCCACGGGGACAGCATTATCACAAACATTGCACAATGTTACTAACACAAGTACTGTACATAGTTTAAAAGGAAACTGCCAGTTCTAGTAGAAAAAAATGTTGCAATATCTATTAGAATGCAAGAGTACACAAAGAACTCTCCTCGATTTTAAATCAAGGATTGTTGCAGGAAGTTGTCGTTTTTACTAAGTTTCTCAATCTAAAAATAGTTAAGTATTGCTTGAAAAAGCAGCCAATTGACGTTAACACTTTCCCTCTAACTTTGTCCCTGCCAGGAAAAAGGACGCGTCGGAGCAGAGGAAGTATCTAACAACCTAGAACGTGCTTTATTTGTGCTGGATAAAAACTTTAAATCCCGCCCAAACTGTTTGCCTGAAGCAGGATGCTCGTATCCCGCTCTATTAATACAGTCATATCACAGCAGCTGCTGCAGGAAACCGCAAATGAGCTCCCACCACCCAAGTTCACATCCCAGAAGCCAAACGCACAAGACCTTCTTGCTACCCTTTAAGCAAAGGTTCATTTCACATCTTCGCTCAGCCAAGGAAGCGAGTCCAAAGGTTGTTTACGGGGAAAAGAGGTCATCCTACTACAACAATTTCCCCTCTTTCTTTTTGTAGGAAAGACGGGAGAGGATATAAATGGGAATTTCTACACTCCCTCCCACCCCTCAAAAGAAGCCCAGAGGAGTTCGCACACCGGCCCAGAGTCTCCCCAAGGGGGCAAAGACCGAGGGAATGGGAGGACGTGGGGTGCGGGCAGGGGGTCCCCAATACCCGCCCATTCCTTCCGAGAAGGCAGCAACCAACGACGCCCCCCCCAAGGCCTTCAGGAGAAGAAAAGGCTTCGGGGGCTCCCTTCCTTTCCACCCCTCCTCACATGGTAGAAAGAGGGAGGCGGGAGGGGAAGAGACGCAGGCCGCTGCGACGCAGAACTGGGGGACTGCGGGGGACACATCTCAGGAATCAAAACAAACCGAGGCGCTTAGGCCGCTGCTGGGAGGTGAGGGGTGAGAGAGACGGAGAAAGGAAGGCCTCATCCCGCTTCCCTGTGGGATCCAGGCCGGGAAAGAGAGGCGGCGGCTCACAGGGGCGACTAAGCGGCGGAGGGAGGCGAGCACTATCTCCCACTCAAGCGGTTCCTCGGCCTCCCCGGCCCCCACCCGATCCCTCAGAGGGAAGAAGGAACGAAGCCCCCCCCCCATCCCGCCTTTACTGTCCTCGAGCCTCGTGAAGAACAATTAAACTCGAGGCGCTGAAATGGGCCCAACGCACAACCCCCCCCCGCCTCCTCCAGCGCGCCTCTTACCCCCCCTCCTGGCGGACCCCCCCGCTCAGGCGGGAAAAGTACTGCTCGCCACCATCACCGACTCTTCAAGATGGCGGACATATCAGCTCCTTCGAGTCCTCCTCTGTCCCCATCCCCCCCATTCCTGCCAATCAACCCTCTAAGGCTCACACCTTTCCTCATCAATCACCTCTTCTATTGGACAATGGCAAAAGCCTCTGTTTGCTACTGGTTCCAACGTGTCGTCGATCACACGCCAAGATACCTCACCATTGGGCAATAAAGGGGATAAAGGCCGGGGTCACGGCTTTGTTTCGCCCAATCAGCGTTTCCAGACGGGCGCCTCTAACTTCCCACCTCTACGCCTTAGCAACCAACTGACGTCACTTTGAAAGGCGTTCATGTTGTCCAACTAAAACCTCCGCTCCCATTTAAAAATAAACCAATGGCGGCCAATCGCTTGCCGAAGAGCTCGGACCAATGAGAACGAACGAGGGCAAACAAATGACTAGGAGCGAGTACGCTTCCCTATTGGGCGGCGTGAGAAACCACGCCCCCTTTGTGTAATTGAAGATATCAAACTGCCTGACAACAGCGGCTTCTTTAACTGGAGGGGGCGGAGTTGACGCGAAACGAGACTTACGAAAGGCACTACTTGTAAATCAGGCGTAAGTCGCTCAGAAGCAGGGGGAATTAGCTCAAATGGTAGAGCGCTCGCTTAGCATGCGAGAGGTAGCGGGATCGATGCCCGCATTCTCCAATTTTCTTCGTTGTTTTTCCGCTGTAATGCACATATTTTACAAATCGTTAACTGGAATTGTGCTGGAATTGAAAAAAGCTTAAGTTTCTATTGTTTTTCTCTCGCTAACATTGTCTCGCGGCAGATCTTCTACACCTTCAGGGGTTGTGTACACTGAAGCCCGAACATAATTTTTAACAGGGGAGGCTCACCCTTGCACGCATCTGCTAAAGTCCAAAAATCGACTCCTCTCCCCCCAAAACCTCTCACATCTGCTATTTGGGGTAGGAAGAGCGAAGAAAAGGTGGTCGAAGTGCTGGTGGAAAACGCAGAAGTTAGTGCTCCTTATTTTGATTGTTAATGCCCATGATTGTTAATGCACGCGATGCTCTTTTTTTAAAAAAGCAGTAAAATATGTTAGTTAGCCTACAAAATAGGCAGTACTGACCTTTCCAAACAAAATAGAAGTTTAGGCTACAGATAACCCTATGGCACCTGGCAGTTAAGTCCCACCGAAACCAATACTGTACATCTTCTAAACAGGCATATATATATATAAGGTTGCCCTGTAAATGTGTGCCTCCTGCATGAAAGTACAGTATGCATAAAGAGGCCAAGATTTAAAAAAGGATTTAAAATTTTGTTTTATAAGGGAAACACACACTTGAAACCAGTGTATTTGGAACCTGCATAGTTTGGAGGAACAGCCTCATTCCTAACTAATGCATGGCAGCAAAGTGTCCTGCAATTGTGTCCAGCATGTGACAGCTAACTCACAAGGCTGGAGAAACCCTTGCGCAAAAGTGGACACATTTGTCACACACTGTACTGCGCACCTTTGCTTCCCGTGTGGTTTCAATGTGGGCAGCTATGCCAGTAACCATGGCAAGTCTGTGCTGGTCACTTTTCTTCCTCCATCCCTTGTTATGTAAGTCCAATATTAATTATTTCAGTTTTAATTACAGCATCTACTCAGTGACTTGCATAACAGAAGCAAACCTAAATGCAGAAAGGATTTATACAAGAGATCACATATGCTAAAACTCAACAACGGACAGTTGCCTTTTTTTCCTGTTCAAAACAGACAACTGGAAAAGCAGCTCAAGATATCCTATTTGGATAAATGCATCCCAGGAATATGTGTACAGTGGTACCTTGGTTTACGAACTTAATCCATTCCGGAAGTCCGTTCTTAAACCAAAGCGTTCTTAAACCAAGGCATTCTTTCCCATAGCAGCTGGGGACTCATTTTACAAATGGAACACACTCAACAGGAAGTGAAACATGTTCTGCTTCCAAGGCAAAGTTCACAAACCAAAACACCTACTTCCGGGTTTGCAGCGTTCTTAATCCAAGTTGTTCACAAACTAAGCTGTTCTTAAACCATGTATTGTCATCAATGTTTCTTTAGAAGGATAACTAAATGGGCCTTTTTATTACAGGTGCTTCAGACATGTTTCAGTAATGCCAAGTAGCATCTTTCTCCAGTTCACTACAGTATGTTTGAATTCTATTAATCTTCAGCCTCTTGCTGCTAAAGGTTCGTCAGAAAGGTGAGAAATCTGTGAATGCTTTGCAGATCACAGCTTTAAATAAGGTCTTAACTGGATTTGTGGCTGGCCTAAAAGATATGTTACCGTCCAGCCCAGTGGGATTTCAGTCCCATGAAAATCAACACCTTAAAATGGTGCATAAAACCTGAGAAGGATGCCCTGACCAGTTCCTTAATGCAGTTGTGAAAAGCATCCCAGGACAATCATTATAAATGAAGAAACTGATAAATTAGTATTAATCACATGGTGATGATGCAGCAGCAAACAGATTCCAAATACAAATATAGGTTTGCTTCTAAGAGGAACAAGGCGATTAATTTCCCCCCAAGACTCATACAACATAATCCCTTTAGATGAAACAAAATGTTCAAAATCAGTTTCCTAATCTCATTTCCATCACTGATCCTATTAGCCGCCTGGAAGCAAAGCTATTGTTGGCTCAGACAGAAACGATGCACAACCTCTCGCCATGCACATATAGCCAAAACACTCTCCCTCCTTCCAAACCTTGATATCTAGTCTACCAGTCCAGAGATTGGCAGGGGAGTGATAGAGCCATGAGTGTGGGGACAATACTATTCTGTTCATTTATCAACTTGGGCATTGAAGGCTTAGCAGAGTGGCCCTCCCCATGGATCATTTTTATGCATGTGTGTGTGTCATAGCTGTCAACTTTTCCCTTTTCTTGTGAGGAATCCTATTCAGAATAAGGGAATTTCCCTTTAAAAAAGGGAAACAAGTACAAAAGAAACATATGAAACAAGGTTATAATTTGCTGATAAATTTATTGTCAAGAATGCATTGTGCGGGAGATGTGGGAAAGTTCGATAGAAAGTTGAAATAAGCTGTTGAAAGGTTACGATTCTTTTTTTTTCCTTTTTTGTGTCTTTTCTTTTTTCTTTCTGTTTTTCTTCTTTTTCTTCTGTTTGTGATTGAAAAAGTGCAATAAAAATTATTATAAAAAAAATAAAAAAGGGAAACATTGACAGCTATGGGTGTGTGTGTGTGTGAAAAACTTGGTGAAAAACTTATTGGTGAAAAACATCTATTTGTAGTTTTAATGATAATAATAACAATAATTAAAACAGGCTGCTCAAGATGGCAAATACACTTTAAAAATGCTAAGATTGTTTTGTTTGTCATCCTCATTCTGAAAACATAAATTGCTGTATATAAGAGGCTGCTGTTACTATTAGCCATTCAATGGGTTTCAATGCCATACATAATTACTTGGAAGTAAGCCCCACTAAACACTAGTACTTCTAAATCAATATCCATAGGCATAGTCTCTGCAGGTAGGCAGTTATTCCTGATGAATCCATTACTTGATCCCATCCAATAAAAATGTTCTTAATTAATTGTACTCTACTGCACTAGCAGATAATTATCCATAAGGGCTAAGGAGTGGTTTGACTGTGTAGGTTTCAGTATTAACATCTGTGTCTGATTTCCCAATGTGTCTGATTAATGTGTTTGGTGGATTTCTGTTAAGTTGTGGGTTGACATAGCAGACGACACAGCAATTTCTCCAAAGTAGCTCTTTATTTTGTAAGCTGGAACAGAACTGAACAGCAAACAGCTCAGCCGGCCTGCTTTTATAGGCAGCCGGCTGTCAACATTGTAGCAACAACAACCCAGGGTTTCCCGCCTAAAATAACTGACGTGGACCTGAGTGAAAACTATCTACACGATACTCCTGGTGGCCAGGGTGAGAACTTCAATACATAACAATTTCTATTCACCAGAAACCTCTTATTTCTAAGGCCAGGAGGTAGACACACAACAGGGTAAATATCTGGGTTCCACTCTTTTTCCTTTAGCGATATGGGTGCTCCTGAGGATAATTCAAACTGACCACACAAATCCTGAAAGGATCAGGAGCCAAGCCATGCTTTTATCGTTTGAAGTTTTTATTTATATAATTAATCAGTCTGTGAGGTTTGTTTGTCTGGGGCTGTCAGTCAACATTACAATAAATGAGTTTTATATATTTTCACACAAATAAAATATTAGTGCACTCTGCTTTTAGATTATTTAGGTGTCACCACATTTTATTCATTTATTGACAACATTTATATGCCATCTAATAACTGTTCTCCAAGCATAAAGCAAAATTTAAAATAAAATACTATATGATAATAACCACAGGACAATTTTTAAAAGTAAACAAACTCCATTGTAAAAATTCAGCATCATAATGTCAGCAGCAGAATAAAGAAACACACAAGGGGGTAAACCACTAAAAGTATCCAAAAAATATTATTAATAATAATTTCATTTATGAATGGCTTCGCATGAAGCATCTTGAAGCGATTTATAATATTTATATGAAATATCTAAAATACAGTGGGTTCAAATGTTAACATTTCTGAAAGTCGGGGGGGGGGGATAAAAAGCTTTCAAATTGCACTGAAATGTCTAGAAAGAAGGCAGCATATCAGATTCTTTGGGGAGGGTGTTTGATTACCAACCAGAACCTTTACTGGAAAGGAGACCTCCATGCTTATGTTAGATTATGTTAGATTTTGGGGGCATGCCTCATTTAAGAAAGCACCTGTCAGCCTCACCCATGGATTTGTAAGAACATACGTTTTTTAAAAACCTGCTTTCTGATTAATCCCAGGTACCTTAGTAAAACATATTATTAATTAATAATCTAATTAATCACTTAACTAACAGTGCAATCTGATGCATGTCTTACTAGAAGTAACTCTCTCAGGTTTGCATAGGATTGCAGCTCTATAATTTAACCAATCCATAAACTCACTTATATCGTTTTAAAACAAAACATTCCTCCAAGCAGCAGTCGGCTATTATGTAACTGGCTCACATATCACACAGCCATATAAAATCCTACCTAGTTATTGCAAAGGAGAAAGCATCACTATCGTATCAGCAGTAGATAAGTTGGTTTACAGCTATCATCTCCAAACACATAAATCTGACCCCATTGTCTGCAATAAAGAATAGTGAAAACCCATTTCCTACAAGGGCCAACAGCACCCACAGATGATTGTCAGTACGTTTTATTTCAACTCTTCATCTTCTTCAACTCTTCATAATCTAATTTTGTATTGGGGGATGTGCTGAAAAAGGCACATACTTATCTGCCTAAGGCTCCAATCACAGGATTGTAAGTTAAATAAGTACCACACATTCCCTATTAATATTCATGTTAGTAGGAGCTACTGCTCTTCTTGCAATCCTTATTGGTTTATACTCCCATATTTCACAAAGGCCAAACATTTTGCTCCTACTCTCTCAAACTCAAATTGCAGGGATCTGCAAGGAACAAAGTGTGTGTGGGGGGGGAATCCATATTTCTATTAAATAAAAAATGCAAACACAATTTTATCTGCAATACAGTAGCTACAGTATTGATTTGATAAGAATGGCTGAACAGGAGAGGGGACATCTCAAGTACAGCATAGTAAGTTATTCTTAGACAACAACCTATTGAAAGCTTGTACACTTTTTGAAATTCACATTTATTTCTTACCATTATTCATAGTGTTTCAGTTTAACATTACATGGTCAACTCCACCTTGCATAGCAATTTGTTTTTAAAATGTATTTTTTTTTAAAAAAAAGCACGCTTAGCAATAGAATAACTGCCAATTTTCAAGGCATCGGCTGAGTTCTTTGCTTTCAGAAATCAGATTGACATTTCCTGAAATGGAGCAGATTCACTACTGCCATATTAGGCGACTTTACTTATGCATGGATGCAGAACAGCAATTCAGATCCCGCAGGAGGGAAATAGGTGACCTACATATTGGCTCCGGACATCTGGTGGCTAACTCATCCCTCCCCCAATCCTTTAACCCTTTCCTGCCCGCTGCGCTCTAACACACACATACGCAGATGCTCTGTTGATTGCAGAAGAGCTGCTTCATGACTCTGGTATGACGGTTTCATTGGTTTCCTGATGGACTCCAGGAAAAGGCTGGAGTTACTTCCAGAAGGCTTTTTTATTTCGATCTGCATTAAAGAGAAAACTAAAAGAGCAATATTAAAATTGTGTCTCTAGGGCATGCCTGCGGTTCTGACAGTCTGCCACCAGAGGGCCTCAGAACCCCACCTGATCAAGTCTTTCTACACATTGCAAAAACAACGCAGAGACTGGCCCTTAGAAGCTATCCCACAACGTTGTCCTTTCAGATCTATTCTTTCTCGTCTGCTGCCATCTACTGGACTCTAGCACGTTCCCCAGCCAACACTCCCAGTGAAAAGTCATTGCTCAGGGTTTAAAATTCAAGGTTAGGGTTTTGCCGCCTCTTCTCTCTGCCATTTGGGACTCACATAAGTTGCACATGGCTTCCTGCAGGACTGTCGCAACACCTTTCTTCAAGCATAGTGTGCAGTTGGTTAGCAGCGCATGCTGGAGACATGCGCAAGCTCAGACCAGAACGGAAATTAAAAGAGCTGCAATTCCCCGAGGGGCCGTGCACTTAACATGCTTGTGGCCACAGAGTGTTCTTTGCACTGCCCCAGATGCATCATCGTCCTTTCCCAGCTGGCCTGGGCCTCACACAGATGGCCTGGAAGAATGTCGAGAGCAGAAAACCATAAAAATGGGCTGGGCACACTTGAAAAACAAAACCCATGCACAGACTGCATAAATGAAGACATCAGAGACTGGCATGGGCGAAGCTGGAACACAGAGCGGGGTAAACAGGAGATTGCGTGCAGATGTTTGCTGTTCAAGGGGCAAGCTAGTCTTGCGTTTCTAAAAGAAAAATCCAAAATGGAGGCAGCCACATCGGCCCAACGGTAAGAACAGTGGTGGGCTCAGTGGTGCTAGAAAAGGCCACTAAGCTGCTGCCAATGCAATCAGCTTGACTGTGCATGTTAGAAATCCTGTAAGCCAAGACTCACGTTTGGGGCTCTTTGGTAAGAGAACCCTGACAGAGATTTAACATGGGAAAGCATGCAACAAAGTCTGGAAACAGAAGCTGTATAAACTTTACATGGTGCCCTTTCCAGTGAATCCCAAAGTG